TCAAGTTCTGCCCTTTTTTCATGCTCGGCTTGATATTGACTTTTGATCTTTTCTAACTCCATTTTGTACTCGTTCATCTGTTTTTCCATTTTTTTAAAGTGATTTTTGTATTGGTCCAACCTTTCCTTCTCTTTTTCATCTCGTTTCTTCAATTCAGCGAGAAACCATTCTTCCCTCTTCTTCAATTTATCTTCAAATTTGGTCTCCAGATTCTCCTTCAGAGTAATCATTTTTTTTTCCGATTTTTCCACTTTTTGTTTTGCTTCTCTGTATGTTAGGTTCTGATCAACCTTGATCTTCATTATGGTACTTTCCCTTTTCCATACTGGGCAGCTGTTACTTGTAGGCCGGTGTTATTGTTGTTGTTGCTCTTTGTCAGCACAATTTATGCATTGGGGAGTGTTGTCACATGAATCCCCGTGGAACGATTTACTGCAGTTGTAGCACCTTTTTTCTCCTTTGCACGCTTTGCCGATGTGTCCGAATTGAAAACACTGAAAGCATCGCATTGGCCGAGGGTAAAACGGCCTAGTAGCAATTCGTACGAAGCCTACCTTCACATACTTGGGGACATTTACACTGTTGAACGTTATGATGAACGAGTTTGTTGCACTTACCACGCCGTTGCGCTTCACTTTAATCTGTTCTACCTTTGTCACGTTTTGATTTTTTAGCACTTCAAGCATTTCGTCTTCCGTAACTACGTAAGGGTCGCGATTCGTGATAACTTTTCTGCACGAGTTTAGTGTTCTGTGTTCGTAGATCTTAACGTTTATATCACTAGAGATAGTTTTTAGCTTAAGCAGAGCTTGAGCTTGTCTATCGTTCTTCGTCTTGATTAGACATTTACCCTCCTTTGTTCTTCATATTTGTTCGACATTGTCACCATCGCACCAGGTTTGAATTGTTTTTTCAATGATTATAGGTGAAACCTTTTCAAGAGTTTCGCCTTCATCAACTCTTTCGATCACTAAAAACTTCCCGGATAATCTTTGCTGACCGAGTGCTGGGAAGTCTTCCCCTGGGAAAAGGGGACCAGGGGCCCCACTGGCTTTCTTGCCCTCTATTCACTGTGCAGCGAAACTTGCTTGGTCTGGCAAAAAAGAACGAAAAATGCACTTCGTCGGTCCACACACTTCACAAGCAATCAGCACCGATATGCAATTTGATGCTCTATAGAGCTATTTATGCATACGTCCGATCGCGGCGACTTACAAACTCGGTATGTAAAGTTCTTTAAAACTACCATTTTGTTTTCAAAAAATTCTGATGCTCATAGAACTGAACTGAAGTTGTCGGAACCTACCCATAAAGCTCTTCAATCTTCCCCAAAGTTTTGAAATTTCCTGTAGTTCTCGAAATTTTCCTGAACTTTGTGGAATTCTTTGAACGCATCGGACACTCCCAAAAGTTTTCGGAACATCATTGAAGTATTCAAAATTGATCTAAACAGGGTGTCCATCCAACCGGGAAAACTGGGAAATCCGGGAAAAATCCGGGAATTTGGATTTGCCGGGAAAAATGCTGGAGAACCTAACTCACACCGGGAAAGATCATACATACTCATCCCAAATAACAATTTTGATTTTATCAGCAGGTCATAATTTGGTCTTGAAGAATCATATAAAACTTTAAACTTGCAATGTTACCATTATAATCATCTGTTTACAACTTTCATACATATTATGTCTTTCACTATGGTGAAGTATCAAAAATCCTCAAAATTACAACAGCTCTATACTTTTCTTTCACTCGCAATCTGTTCGCGCACGGGGCAAACGACGATTTTGCCGTTTTTCCAACCACGATAGCTAACAGAGTAAGTTTTAAGAATTTGTTTTGGTGTCATTGGAAGAAAAGTGTTTGAATTCTTTTGCTACGATTTTCCGAGTGAAATAGTTCTAGTATAAAGCCTGAGCGAAACATATCTTGTTACGAAGCTACACCGGACGCAATCAACGAACTGAAAATAATGTCATCTGTAAAACATTACATAAAACATACAGCCTGTGGTTAGTCTGTAAAACATAAAGATCGGAATCCATATTTATCACGCTAAGGTCTTGAGTTCGAATCTCACCCGGATATAGCACGAATGATCCAAGAGTGTTAATGTGACTTAAAAAAAAAAAAAAAACAGTTAAACTCTAGAAATTTTAGAAAACCTAATAAACCAAACCAATTATATCATGGGGCTTCACGAAGGTTTACTCATTCTATCATTACGTCAAATCATCGTATGCCTTGTTGAGTCTGCAGAACTTCAAGATAAAATATCCGGGATGATTTGGATGGTCCAACAATGTTAGTATTAAATAAAATCAAACATTTTAAATTATATCATGATTCTCCGTGATGCTCACAATGCTCAAAAATTCTGAGTGGACTCGATGTCTACAAGATTTCGATTAACCTGTAAAATATATCCAGAACATTTTGAAGTATGATAAATATTTTGATAACATATCTTTGTACATACTCCACAAAATGTTGCAAGATCTAAACTCCAGCAAGGTTTGAAAAACTTTTGATACTGCGTTTCTCCTGCTCAGGTATCTTGTTTTGATATATGCTTTTTTCCAATATACCAAACCAAGCCTAAGGCTCATTTTTGGCAGTGAAACTCTTTGTTTTTATGCGAATGATTGATTCCATGAGATTTTGGAGATCTAGATCATCGACATGTTAATGTAAATCTCATTTAATTTATTTTGCACAAGGTAGGCGCATTGTAGAGAAACTCTGCTCATCAAATTATATGATTAATTCCAACCAGCTATTTTTGTTTAGGGCAAGGTTATGTTAGAGTTGGATTTTTTTTTAAATGGTAGGGAAAATTCGGGAATTGAAAAATTGTATTTGAATGCTTCTAAATAGCTTTAGTCTTTTCTGTTTTTCTGGAGTTCCCTGAATTCCTCAGAAATTTTTTAAACTTCCTGTAATTTTCCTGAAATTAATGGAACTGTCCAGAAATTCTCTGATATGTTCCATGAAAACAAAACGTGTGGAAACCGACCAACGAATCTATATTTATCAGCAGCTTAATTTTGTTAATGTTTGGATTATGTTTTCTCATGTAAATTTAACATGATAGAGTCAATATATTTTTTTTTATTCGGTGCAATTCGGTCCTAGCATTTGTTTGCATCACCAGGAGCGAAGCACTATTTCTCCACTCAGGAACGCCAAGGGAAAATTGGAATGTTTAAATTCCTTAATGCTGTTGGAAATGCAGGTATCTCTCTTCACAGAATAATTCCTAGGGTTGCCCAAATAAAATCAAACTGTTTGTTGGGCACAACAAATTGATGAATGATGAATGAGCACAGATAATTTGTTTGATAGATTTGTAGCAGCCCAATTTTTCTACAGTTATACCCAAAATAGCGAGGAACCTTTGTACGGATAATAGGGTTAATGGAAAATTCGGCAGTCAATTACTGTTTTCGGCAACCAAAATTGAATCGTTAATTTCACTGGATTTTCAATAAAAAAAAACTTCGCTGAATGTATTCAAATGATTCCATAGTCTTTCAGCTCCAAGCTGAGTAGATTTGTTGGAATTGAGAAAGTGTATTTTACGAGGGTTTTTTTTGAAATGAAACACTACAAAAAGTTGCTGATTTCGAGGATCCTTTGAACTTGTACTCACAAGTTATAAAAAAGCAACCCTGCTTATATTCTTACTTCAGCTGTTCAACATTCATCTTGAACTTCAATGAAAAGAAAACATTAACAATAAAGTGTAAGTACTTTTACTGTACACTAAAAACTTTTCTCTTCGTCATTCCCATCCCTATCATGCTCAAAAGGGAGAAAGCAATGCCACTTCCAGTCGAAGTAAAATATAACCTCTCATTTCGCTTAAATTTATTTACATTCCACTTGAGAGTCCGTCATCATCATTATCTGCGGCGTTCGCTTCTGTGCATTAAATTATTGCAATGCAAAATGTTGTTGACGATGCAATGTGGGATCGTTGTTCCGCCATTTTCAGATTCCATTTGCAATAAAGGTAGTTCGTATACACGCTAACTTGAAAGTACCCATTAATGGTTGAAAAAGACCCATTTTGAAGAAAAGTGGCTTAACTCATTAAATGAGTAAATTTTTTACCCATTAATGGGTATCTGTTACCCATTAATGAGTAATTGTTAATCATTAATGGGTAACAGATACTCATTAATGGGTAAAATTGTTTAATCATTAATGAGTTAAGCCACTTTTCTTCAAAATGGGTCTTTTTTTACACATTAATGAGTACTTTCAAGTTAGCGTGTACCTAGTCCTTGTGCCGTCGCGACGTTGTTGCGTTTTACTGGTGGTGTGCGGAAAAAAAAACTGCATTTAACCACCGCCAACTATGACGACGACGACGAGGGCAACTAAATGAGAAAAAAGAATGCTTCAAACACTGCAACTCAGATCATAAAAAAATGAACAACAATAAATGGAGAGAACGATGATGGTCCTCGTGGAAGTTCACTTTATGCAAACTTTGTCATCGTTTTTTCTCAACTAGGGGCTATCTAACTGCACTGTGTTGACTGCCCACCGGCCGGCAAGATAACGAACGTTCCAACCAACGACGAGGCAACGAGGGTCGGAATGTTACTTTTGCGGTTTTCTGATAACGTTCCGGTTCCGGGAGTCGAAGCGAGCCACACTGTGCCATGGAAAGCTTTCAATTAATCAAATTTCAGACAGTCTGGCGCAAAAGTGGAAACTAAGAATGTCCGTTTTCCGAGTGGCACCTGGTTTAGTCTGTTTGTGTGTGCCTAATAGAGCCAGAGGGAGAACAAGATAAAAAATGGTAGATAAGTGGCCCTTGAGTCGTGGTCCTCCGGTTCACCGGCCGGCCGTCTGTCTGTCTATCGCTGAGAGTGAAGAGGAAAAACAAACAGGCAAACAACCAAGTACTACGGTATTTCCGTGTGTCACCGTGTGTTTGTGTTTGTTTGCTAAAGATGATGATGCTGATGACGACGGTTGATACTTACGAGTAAATTGGCTTGCTGTTGCCTTCCTTGTACCAGATGACCAGGGTCACCTTGTCGGTCGTCATCGTCATCGTGGACGGCAGCAGATCGCACGGGAGCGATACGTCCAGGCCTTCGGATGTTTGGACTTCGAACAGCGGACCTGGAATGGTAAGCGAGCCAGAGAAGGAAAAACAGAGATTTATGAGATAATGGGTTCGAGTGGCGGCGGTCAGCTGAAAGTGAGGAGGCTTTGTAAAAGCGAAGGTAAAAGGATGGAATGTTTACCGAAGCAGTGTTGTTCTGTCAATTTGAGTAATGAGTAGGCTTCTGTTCAATGCGTATTGGGTTTTCGCACAGAAAGTGATCAAATTGACAGGTTGAAAGGGTATCTGTTGCCCGTACCTACGTGATTAGAAGATTACCGTAAAGTTCAGACATGTTGATCATAATGGGTCACAGTGATAAATATAAAATATGCATATGTGTGTGGTGATCGATAGTACGTCATATCGCAGAACCGGCCAGAGACATCATTCCGAAATTTTCACCAGAAGGGTACTGATTTTGCTTGTTCCAGATTATATTTTTCAAAAATCAAATATCGATTTTACTTGGGAAGATTATAAAGGGAAGGTGGGAAGGCAAGATCGAATGCAGCCTGTAAAGTGAGATGCATGGCACATGAACGAATCAATTTTAACGTTTATTTACTTATTGTCTTGTGGTTTACAATTATTGTACATTTTAATTGATTTAGCCCGAAAGCTCTTCATCTTTAGTGATTATGTCTATAACAAGTTACTGTTTGATTTTAGTTTTATTATTATTATTATTATTATTATTATTATTTAATTTTATTCATCGGACTATTGTCTACATGAAACAACCTTAAAGCTAAAACAATTCAAGTGTTTCTAATCCGTGCCAAAAAGCGAGATGAAGATTCCTCAAATTCGAATAATTCTTCGACAGCCGTAAACGTACGCATCATAGTTGTTAGTGGTTCGTTGTAACCGAACGCCGTTCGATGGTACCGCGGTTGGAGAAGGGTATCACTTCGTAATGTTCTCGGTGGTACTCGGATATCCAACAGCGAGAGAAGCCTTGAGCAGTCGACCTCACCATTCAATAGCTTGGCAACAAAAACTGCTTGCTGATTTTTCCGTCGGCATTCCAGAGTATCCAAGCTCAGCAGATTGCAGCGATCAGAATACGGCGGGAGATTTTGCGGATCACGCCATGGTAGATTACGTAATGCTATCCTGATAAACTTGCGCTGAACACTTTAGATCCTCAAGCTCCAAGTCAACTGATGAGGAAACCAGACCAAGAAGGCATTTTCCAGGATTGGTCGCACAAGTGAGCAATAGAGAGCTTTCAGGCAGTGTGGGTCAATGAAGTCCTTCGATATTTTCGACACAAAACCTAGCTGGCGATTCGCCTTTGTGATTAGAGCAGAGCGGTGGAGGTTGAACGTCAACTTATGGTCCAGTAGAACACCAAGATCGCTGAACTGGTCGGTTCTTTGAAGAACCACACCGTTGATGGCATAGTCAAAAACAATCGGCTGCCTGATGCGGTAATACGACATTACCATACATTTAGGAATGCTGAGGGTAAGCTTATTCCGACGACACCAATCAACGAACAGATCCAATACCGATTGAAGACGAATGCAATCCTCAGCAGTCCGCACCACGAAGTACAGCTTTAGGTCATCGGCATACGCAAGCTTACAGCCATCTCCAAGCAGAAGAAGTGCGTCGTTGATGTACAACACAAACAGCAACGGGCCAAGATTGCTACCCTGTGGTACACCTGACGAGTTCGTGAAATACGAGGAAGTACTGGAATCGAGTTTCACTCGCAGAGACCTGTCAGTCAAGTAGGAGCACAACCACGAAGTCAAACGGTCCGACGCACCGAGTTTGGATAGCTTTGCCAACATAATGTCATGGTTGATCGTATCAAACGATGCTTTTAGATCAGTGTAGATGACGTCTATTTGTGCCCCATTTTCCAGTTGCTCAAAACATGTCGTGGTAAAATCTAGAAGATTTGTGGTAACCGGTCGTCCAGGCATGAAGCCATGTTGGTCACTAGAGATATAGCATTTGGTGTGCTCAAGAATCAAACCACTCACAATTATCTCAAACAGTTTTGATGCTGCAGAGAGATTAGTAATTCCTCTGTAGTTTTTAACGACACGTTTATCTCGTTTCTTGTGTACCGGAACCATAAATGACTCTTTCCAGATTGCAGGAAATTTCGACTCTACAAAAGATTTGTTGAAGATTCTGCAAAGCGCTCCAATGGTACGACAATACACTGCAGAAGGAATGCCATCTGGTCCAGGCGAAAAGGTACACTTCATTTTCTTGGCGGCATTAGTTACCATAATGGGCGTTATTTCAAAAGTGTTTATGTCAACAAGGTTTGAAGGCACATCCGAAACAGCCGAGACAAGTTCAGTCGAGACGAGAAATGAGCAGCAAAAAGCTCACATTTCTCCCCGCCTATCGACGATTCAACGTCATTGAAAAAAACGCTTGCAGGCATTGTTGAATTTTTCCTCTTCATTGCTCCAAAAGCTCTTGGGGTTTCGCCTTAAATTAGTTTGCACTCGTAAAACGTACGATTTGTAGAGCGAAGAGTTTAGATTACGGTACTCGCTACACGCCAAGTGAAAACTACGCTTATTTGCCAGGGAACGGTATCGCCGAAGTCTACGTTGCGAAGCATTTCTTTTTCGTTTTAGTTTTCGTAGCAAAGCGGTGCTTCACGCAGGAGAAACAGCAGGCCGACGAATCGGTACGTTTGTATCCATCCAATTAATCATTTTGTTCGACCATTTTCCACAGAGATGGCGTTGTTCCGCTGGTAGGAAGTGATAAAAATCCCCATATAGAAATTGAGAGAAGTGGGAATAATTCGCTTTCGGTGCATATTCAGGTCAAAAAAAGTGAACGACAGCCTTAAGAAATTAGTCAAGGGCTTTGTCGTTCAGTTTTTTCCCGGAAATTAATACTAAACTAGCTACAATTAATTTAAAATGATTTTTCCCCATACAATTTTACCTGCTTTACTACAAGTCCCCAGAGTGCCAAAAAATTCAAATTTTAGAGAGAAATTCTCTATCACGAGCTCAATTTCTCAACATGCCATGTATTTTGTTGACACTCGATTTGTGATTTCCCTTTCACAGATTACAAAATAGAGTACCTGACACTACGAAACATGTCTGGTACCTCTTTATATGCATTTGCTTTAACATTTGAAGTCCCTCCTTTTTTACATATTCTGCGCAAAAGATACTTTATGCCCCGCCCCATACATAAAATTGGTGGGAAATTCAGTGAGGGGTGAGCTATTTTGTGTGCAGAATGTGTAAAAAGGGAGGGACTTTGGATGTTAATCTAAATGCATATAGAGGTACCAGACATGTTTTGCACTGCAGTGTCCTCTGTGAACAATTATAGGACAACAGATTATTTCTAGTTTCCGATAGATGTCACCGCAAACAACAGCTGTGACATCTGATGGAACATGAATGCAGAAGCTTGACAAAATAATCAATTATTTAGCACAGCCGACAACGTTTCAGCCATTTCATCAGCATTCAGTCCATCGAAAAGAGGATCCCAGTCAGTGACGGAAAGGAAGGCCATTAGAACATCGAAATCAATCTTGCTATAGTCTAACGCAAGCTCATCACTCGCATTCAGCAGCAGTGCACCGTCATCAACTAAAGATGGTAAGCAGACGACTAGTGGCGGATGATGAAGATCAACTGGCAAGAGTGGTGAAACAGATCTCGAGATTTCCACAGGAAAGTCCGTATGGCAAAAGAACAAATCCAGGATGCGTCCTAAGTGGTTGAGCTCGAGATTTCTCTGATGCAGGTTGTGGAAATCCATACCATCAATCAAGAATGAGCTAGCAAATGGTAAAGGAACAGAGTTCACAGGTCGAATCTCGCCATCAGCCCAACTCCAGCATATCCCAGGTTGATTGTAGTCACCGCATACCAGCAAGCAATCGCTGTCAGAGCCACTGTTACAAAGCTCTTGGATCGATACAATATGACCATTCAAAACGCTGAGATCCTTGCTCTTTTCTGGAGGAACGTAAATTGCACACAGCAATAGTCGCTTGGATCCAATCCTCGTCGATACACGCACTTGTTCTATCGTTTCTCCGCTCGTTGCAACGACACTGCTACTGATGAAACGATGATGTACGGCAATTAGAACCCCTCCGAAACGAAATTTGCTGCTGTTTATCTGGCTTCGGTCACATCGGTACACATTGTAGTTGCTTCCGAAAAGCTGCGTCGAATTGATAGCCTCGTTAAGCCCCGTCTCGATTAAAATGATGACGTCAAAATTGCACTCCAGGACGTTGCAGTAAAAGTCGTCGATCTTGGTGCGCAGTCCACGTACGTTTTGGTAATAAACCCATAAACGACTAGCGTCACGGGTCGTGTTCTGCAACATGGAAATATTTGGCGCGGGAATATTTGGTAAATGGTACAGATACTCACCTCTGGTGGAAACCCTAGGGTTTCCACCGTCCACAGAATGTCGCAAAGAATGATTATTGATAATAGTGCTAACCCTAGGGTTTCCACCGTCCACATGATAGAGCCTTAAGTATTTGTCAGTGGATTGCCGTTGGATCCAGACTGGTTTTTTTGAGTAGTCGGTGAATTCACGGAATAATATCCCATCAGGCCACGTAGAAGCGTCGAGAGCTAGTTCTTTCAGCGATGGATCCAAGCCAACTTTGAAGGAAATGAAAGTCAGCTTCGTCATATCCACTTCCTTGGGAACGAGACGCACGACGTCAGCAGGTGTTGTCAGATCCAAGCAGCGAGAAGTAATTTTTTGAATGTCCTCAGCAGTTATTAACGGGTGTAATCCGGACAGTTAGAGCCAGAACTTTGGAGGGGAGATCGGTGGTGTTAGACACGGTACAGACAAGTCACTGAGATCAATTGCATTGGTCCCACGCACAGAAGAAGTGCCAATCGGTCCACCTTCATTACCACGACGACGTTTAACACCAAGTCTGGGCCAGGCATTTCCCTTCCATGATCGATTCGATGGTCGCTCAGCAGGAATATCCATGGAAATGCACTTGTCAACTTTATCACTCAGC